TGAGCGGTCTTGTCAGCCTTGTTTAATTTATATATCCATCATTTATTTAATATATTCATCCGGACAAGCAACAACTAATCTTGAACAGTCCCCAAAAAAAGCCAACTGGGAAGAATCCTGATTAACACTGGCAGGAAAGACTCACCAGAAAGCCCACGGCTCTTAAATTTTAGAATGGGGAATTTATTTTATTTTTTTAAAAAACTCTTCCATAGGTGGTACTGGAAACTAGACTTACGACCACAACTGAGCCAAGCTTTCTGTTGCTAAGCGAGGCAGTCCTTTAAGTGAGTTTTGCCCCAGTTTTAAGAACTCTTCTTGCCACTGTTGTTAAGTGAATCACTACAGTTGTTAAGTTAGTCACACAGCGCACATGTAGTGCAGCTGATTAAAATGCAGCCGTCGGCCGCAGGAAGGCCACGGGTTTGAAACCAAATGTCCTGCTGAAGGTAGGAATAAAATCCACCCTATGGGTCAGGGGTCTCCAACCTTGGCAACTTTTAAGCCTGGAGGACTTAAAGTTCTCAGACTTCTGAGAGAAGTCCTCCAGGTTTAAGGTTGCCAAGGTTGGAGACCCCTGTTATGGGTGACAATATCTGATGAGGTTGGCTTTCAGTCAAGCACGTCCTGACAAGGGAGGAAAACTCAGCGGGAGAAGAACATTAGGCTTCCAAATAAAAGATGATTACGGAGCCTAAAACAGAACCCTTTTCCCAATTAAGCACCGCTAATCTGATTTCCTATTTATAGCCTGCTTTAATCTAAAACCGCTTTTACAATGGCTGATCCGAGGACAGCAAAAAAAGAAAAACAAGAGGCGTGTAAGTCGTTAAACTAAGATCAAGGAGAGCAGAAAGGAATAATTAGGGAGCCAAATTTGAAAACCACGACACAGAAATTTGTGTTACAGAAATTTGCTCTGTTCCTTCTACCTACCTGGCCTTGGTGCAGAATGACGAGCAAAGCAGAAATTGGATAAAAAAGAAGGCAGTTCAAACTGTTTGGTCTAGTGGTTAGGGTTATGTGCTTAAGAGCTCGTTTGGAGCAGAGGTTAAGATACCAGGCTACAAAATGGGAGACTGGGAGTTCTAGTACTGCCTGAGGCAAGGAAGCCAACTGGGTGACTTTGGGCCAATCACCAGATTGGGAGTTCTAGTCATACCTTAGGCATGAAAATTGGCTGGGGGACTTTGGGCCAATCACCAGGAGACAAGGAGTTCCAGTCCCATCCTAGGAATGAAACCCGGCTAGGTGATTTTGGGCCAATCCCTTTCTCTCAGCCCATCCTGCCTCACAGGGTTGTTGTTCTAGGTAAAATAAGAGGTAGAAGGTATTGATTATTGATTATTATGCTCACCACTTTGAGGTATTTGTGAAAATAGTAAAGGCACAACACAGAAGAAAAATAAAATATAAAACCATTAAACTGATTCATACTGGAAGGAGGGAGGGAGGGAGAGAGGAAGGAAGGAAGGAAGGAAGGTAAGAGAGAGAAGAAAGGAGGAAGGAAAGAAGGAAAGAAAGAAGGAATATAAGAGAGAGAGGAAGGAAAGAAGGAAGATAAGAGAGAGAGGAAAAGAGGGAGGGAGGGAAGGAGGAAGGAAGGAGGAAGGAAGGAAGGAAGGAAGGAAGGAAGGAAGGAAGGAAGGAAGGGGAGATCAGTGCCTAATGTCTCAATTTTGATCACATCACCAGGGGGATGTTGCAACGGTCGTAAGTGTGAAAAACAATCATTGGTCTCTTTTTTCAGGGCCACTGTCACTTCGAATTGTCACTAAACAAACTGTTTTAAGTTTAGGATTACCTGTACTTTAATCTGTTAATTTACACAGTGTTTTGTTTCTTGCAGCTTGCTTGTCCCGATGTGCTTATCCTGGGTTGGTTTTATCTCATTTATTCTGTTGAAAGAAGCTGGGAGTCAATTATGCTTTGATGGGACGGACGTTCACCAAAGGAATAGGTAAATTAAATAAATTACTGGGAAATTCACCCTGGCTTTCAGAGGCTGTTCGTGCATTATAAGCCATGCATAAAATTCACTAACAGGGAACAGCACGCAGCACATGTGTTTCCCAGCGAAAGCAGCAATAATTAGATATTTCCTGCTTCAGTTGCTTGTAATCCTGTAAATAAGTGGACAGCTCCAGCATAGATTTAATAATTGCCAAAAGGACATATAAGACGCTTCATTGTATTTAATCTGGCATCTGCCCTTAGCTTCTAAACTTCCATTCATCTCTCTGAAAATAAGTTTTTTAGATTAAAAAAAAATCATCATCATAATCCTAAATATTCATCAGAACTTATTTCAGAATATTGGAAAAAAATGGTTTTTAATATATCTGCTTTTCACCAACCTTTTTGGATTCTTGGAACTCTATTATCATTCAAATCGTACTCCAATTTTAGAGTGTAAAATTCATTGAGTTAAAAGATTCCAAGTAATTGACAAAATTGACATTTCAAGCCCTGAGAATTTATATATGTGGTCGACTTACAACCACAACCAACATTTCTGTTGTTAAGTCAGACATTTGTTATATGAGTTTTGTCCCATTTTACAGCATTTCTTGCTCTATTTGTTAAGTGAATCATTGCAGTTGTTGAGATAGTTATAACGTTGTTAAGTGAATCTGGCTTCCCCATTGAATTTGCTGGTCAGAAGGTCGCAAAAGGGGATTCAGGTGACCCCCAGAGACACTGCAACCGTCATAAATATGAGTCAGTTGCAAAGCTGATTGAATTTTGATCATGTGACCACAGGGAGGCTGCAATGGTCGTAAGTGTGAAAAATGATGATGTCATTTTTTTCACTGATGTTGTAACTTCAAATGGTCGCTAAATAACCATTGTAACAGATAACAGATAACCAGAGTTGGAAGGGACCTTGTAGGTCATCTAGTCCAGCCCCCCCCCCCAAAAAAAAGCAGGAGACCCTACACCATTTCTGACAGATGCGATCCCAATCTCTTCTTGAAAGCCTCCAATGATGGCACTCCCACAACTTCCAAGGGCAACTTCTGTTCCATTGGTTGATTGTTCTCACGGTCAGAAAGTTTCTCCTTGTTTCCAGGTTAAATCTCTCCTAGTTCAGTTTCCATCCATGATTCCTTCTCTGGCCTTCGGGTGCTTTAGAAAATAGCTTGATTCCCTTCCTCCTCTCTGTGGCAGCCCCTCAAATATCGCAAACTGCTCTCCTGTCTCCCCTGGTCCTTCTCTTCACTAGACTAGCCAGGTCCAGTTCCTGTAACGGTTCTTCATGTATTAGTCTCCAGTCCCATCATCCTGATTGCTCTTCTCTGCACTTTTTCTAAAGTCTCAACATCTTTTTTATAATGTGGTGACCAAAACTGGATGCAGAACTCTAAGTGTGGTCTTACTAAGGCTTTATAGGGTGGTATTAGTACCACTCTAAAGACTGGTATTAGTTGCAAGTTGAGGACTACCTGTACTCCCATTCTACTTGCAGAGATAAACTAAAAACAGAATTATAGCAGTATTTTAAAAAATTGATATGGTAGCTCGGTGAACCCCAAAATTTTAATGTTGTTACCCACTCTACCCCAGTCAGCTATGTGTTACTTGGGCAGCTATATAAATTTGTAGTGATACAAGAGATAGAAGGTTGAACTGTGTGGTATTTGATACGCTCTGATAGTTGATCGTTTTTTCCCCAGACATTTTATGACCCAACCAGTTAACATCATCAGTTGAAGGAGGTGGAAGTGCAGATGAAGGAGGACTGTGGGGGTCCTTGGTAGTCTCTGAGCTTGGTGGTTTTCTTGTAGACATTTCATGACCCAGCTAGGTAACATCATCAGTGCTAAAGGAGATAATCTCGTAGCACTGATGCCGTTACCTAGTTTTGTAATGAAACGTCTGCAACAAACAAACCAAGCTCAGAGAGCACTAAGGACCCCACATATAAATGTGTTAATAGATAAAAATAAAATAACATTGAGAATGCAGCCATTTCTCAGCAAAGGAAATGATTCTGGCTGGTGATGAAATTTTATTTATAAAGTGAGTGGAGCTGGCTGCGTTCAAGGTAATAGTCAGTAGATTATTTTAAAGAAACCCCAGAAATTAGGGGATCTGGATTATGGCCCAGGATCCAACAACTGATACCTGGAGGCGATGGGAACTACGGTAAAAAAAATTGGATGTGACTCACTAAACTTGGCTTAGCAACAGAAATTTTGGGCACAATTGTGGTCATAAGTCGAGGACTTGCAGAGAAAACTGGCCCTTCTTTGGCTAGCTGATAGAAATGCTGCAGGGGACCCTGAACTTAGCTGGGGTCACGCTAGATGACCTCTACAGACCCTTCCAATTTTTAGATGTTCTCACCGAATCCTAGAGGGGGAAAAATCTCTTCTCTACTTCAGTCACTGTGTCCATCGCAGTTATCTGGACAACTATGAGATGCTTTGATTTGTATTCATCCATTCATCCAAATAGGGGTTGTACTGGATGACCTCAGGGGTACCCCAATGGCTCCTTTAAATAGGCATTCTTTCAATTAATGCATTGGTCATTCTGTGCATTCCCCCCCGCCCCCCAAAAAAAGCGCCACGTGCGCCGGGAGGACTACGCGGCCCATCACTCCCGGCCAGCTAAATGCCTTGGGAGAAAGCAAAGGGAAGGCTCGCAGAGCGCCATAACTGTAGTGGAACCAACGCGAAGTAGTGCGGGATCCGGGGGGGCACATTTCTGCAGCACACCGCAAAGTCGAAATGGGGCGTGGGGGAACCCCGAAGCTGTTGCACTCACCTGAAACTGCAGCGCATAAGAAGTGCCGCCACCACATGAGGAGCCAAACCGGAGCCGCGTCCGGGAAGGATGACTCAGAGAGGCGGGGCGGGCCATGACCGGGCTCCGCCGCCCCAGGCAAGCTCCGCCCCGTATCCGGGAGCACTGTACGTTCCGGCCGCGCCGAAAGGCAGTGTGGGAGAGCGGCGGCGCGGATGACGTCACAGATGCATGAGAGGACATTGAAAGCGCCTGGCGGGGCCAGCCAGGAATCACATGCGTAGATGACCTACCCTCGGCCGTTCCGGGTTAAACCATTCGGTACACGGACGAGGGGAGGGCAGCGATAGGTTGAACCATTCAGGAGGAAGGAGAAGAGAAGAAGCGGGCCGCGGGTATTCACAGAGTGGAAAAGTAAAGGATCGAACCACCGGCAAGCGGGAAGAGGGGGGGTAAGGATCAAACCATTGCGAGAATTGGTGGGGGAATGGACGTGGAACCGGGAGGCAATTCATTCCGGGCGTGGGAAATAGCGTGAGATGGGTGCAAAGCGAAGGGGAGCTCCAACAAACCACGATTGGCTGAACCCTGGCAACGTTAAGACTCGTGGACTTCAATTCCCAGAATTCCTCAGCTATGCTGGCTAGGGAATTCTGAGTATTTCCCACAAATCTTAAAGTTACTAAGTTTGGAGATCCCTATATAGAGGCTGACTGGCTTACAGAGCCTCCAGATTACATGGCAGTGTAACTTGGGACCGGCTGCTATTTACAGGTAGTCCTCAACTTACAACAATTCACTTAGTGACCATTCAAAGTTATAACAGCACTGAAAATAGAGACTTATGACGGGTTTTCATATTTAACGACCATAGCAGCCTCCACAAGGTCACCTGATCAAAATCCAGGAGCTTGGCAACTGACTCGTATTTATGACGGTTGCAGTGTCCCAGGGTCATGTGATCCCCTTTTGCGACCATCTGACAAGCTAAGTCAATGGGGAAGCCGAATTCACTTAATGACCCTCTGACTAATTTAACAACTGCAGCAACTGGGGCAAGAAAGGTCGCAAACCTTTAAACGAATGTTTTTTTTAGCAACATAAATTTTTGGCTCAGTTGAGGACTGCCTTGTATTCTTATTTTTTTTGCATTTTCCTCTGCCAAAGCTCTCAGCCTGTTTGACAGACAGCCCTACATTTTGCATGCTTGCTAGCCATGTTAAAAGCTTTTGTTATACTTCTTGGAATTTGGTGCAATATTTCAGCGCCAGAGGAGCAGTTTTAAATTATATGACTTTTAAACTGGTTAATTTTAGCAGGTTTGATAGGTGGATTGTGTATCATTTTTTTCCTCTTGGTATGTCTAGTGGTTGGCTATTGAAAATTAGGAAGCGAATTTAAATAAGTAAAGGAATTTAAATAAATAATGGCCAAATCACAATTTTGCAAACAATCCAAGATATTTCCAACTAACTTGCAACTTTTTTATTTCTTGCATTTGTTTGCTTGTTCATTCATTCATTTGCTACCCATGCACGAAAAGCCACTCTAAAATTTTATTTCCAACATTGGAAGCACAAAATAACAGATCCAAAGATTGTAACATGATTTATTTTTTTCCTCTTCTTCCCCTTCTCAAGGGCTTCGCATTATGGCTTTGAAGAAAAGCCCAGCATTTTAATCCTCCTAGGAATTCCTGATCAGCATCTATTCCCAAAGTCTCATTGCCTATCAGAATGGCAGCTATAAGCAGGAGTTTAAGGTATTTATAATGTTCCCACAACAGTCTCGACAGAAATTCTATAGACTTGCAATCCAGAACTGAAATTTTTACAGCAGCAATATTCTGAAAAGGGTATATATCTTGGAATATCTAAAAAGAGTTACTGCAGTGTTGGTAACTTTAAGATGGATGGATTTCAAATCCCAGAGTTCTCCACCAGCATGCTCCGTAGAGAATTCTGGGGCTTGAAGTCCGCCCCTCTTAAATCATGCTGGCTGGGGGATTCTGGGAGTTGAAGCTCATCCCTTTTAAAGTATGATTTCTGGGAGTGGAAGTCCTCCCCTCTTAAAGTATGCTGGCTGGGGGATTCTGGGAGTGGAAGTCCTCCCCTCTTAAAGCATGCTGGCTGGGGCATTCTGGGAGTGGAAGTCCTCCCCTCTTAAAGCATGCCGGCTGGTGGATTCTGGGAGTTGAAGTCCTCCCCTCTTAAAGCATGCCGGCTGGGGGATTCTGGGAGTGGAAGTCCTCCCCTCTTAAAGCATGCCGGCTGGGGGATTCTGGGAGTTGAAGTCCTCCCCTCTTAAAGCATGCCGGCTGGGGGATTCTGGGAGTTGAACCTCATCCCTTTTAAAGCATGCTGGCTGGGGGATTCTGGGAATTGAAGTCCACACCTTTTGAAAGATGCCATTCTGTGTTGTCTGAATTGGTTTCAGCATCCTGCAGGTCGAGAATCTGTCCAGATGTCTCCTCAGGGCTTGTGGGCTTCACACAACGCCCAATCATCTGAATTCCAATCGGACGTCCATCGCTTGCTTTCCAAGATCAAAGTACGCTCGGCTATATCCGGTCCTCCTGATTAAACTGGACGGATCTACTGTACATCTCCGTTACAAAGAGCCGAGGCGTATCCTTCAGGTGAGAATTAAGCCCCCCTGGCTTTCTTTGCAGTGACAGGGTAGGACTCCCTAAACCATGTTGCAACCATCTGACTTGTTTCTGAGCTCCCGTCGGGCCCATTGTAGACAGTGGGCTCGCTTAACGACTGCAGGGTCGTGTAGCAGTCATGGTGGTTTGCTTAACGTCCGCCACAAAAAAAATCACAAAATTGGGTCAGGTGTGTGATGACCCGCTTAACGGCCAGCATAACTTAGGACCTCAATTCTGGGCTTAATAGTAGTCATAAATCAAGGACTATGCGTGTAGGGATTTGCGGTAGTTTAGTTTGTTTTATTATTTCTTCTTACTGACAGAGGGGAAAGAAAACAGCTGTGGGTTGTGTGGGACTGCAGATACATACACACACACCAATGTAATATATAGGAAGTCCTCGACTTACAACAGTTTGTTTAGTGACCATTCAAAGTTGCAACGGCACTGAAAAAAAGTAAGTGATGACTATTTTTCACCCTTACGACAGCAGTCTCAAGTCATGTGATCGAAATTCAGACGCTTGGCAACTGACTCACACTTATGACGGTCGCGGTGTCCTGAGGTCAGGTGATCCCCTTTTGCGACCCTCTGACCAGCAAAGTCAATGGGGAAGCCTGGTTCACTTAACGACCATGTTGCTAATTTAACCACAGTGATTCACTTAACAATGGTGGTAAGAAAAGTTGTAAAATGGGGTGAACCTCACTTAACAGATTTCTCACCTAGCAACATAAATTTTGGTCGTAGGTTGAGGACCACCTGTATTCACACAAACTCACAACACCGCAGGAATCTGTGTGCCAAGTCATATGTTTTTCTATTTCCTTTGTAACTTGCATCATCTTATACAAGAGATGGATGCTTAAAAATTTAATAATACAGGTAGTCCTTGACTTACAACAATTCGTTCATTGACCATTTGAAGTCACAGCAGTGAAAAAAGTGACTTATGACTTTTTCACGCTTACGACCTTAGCAGCATCCCCCGGGTCTCGTGATCTTAATCCAGCCTCTACCACCTGACTCATATTTATGACGGTTGCAGTGTCCCGGTGTCATGCGATCCCCTTTTGTGACCTCCTGACAAGCAAATTGAGTGGAGAAGCTAGATTCACTTAGCGACCATATGAGTAACTTAACAGCTGCATGATTCCCTTATGGCAAGAAAGTTCATAGAATGGGGCAAAACTCATTTAACTGTCTTGCTTAGCAATAAAAATTTGGGCTCAATTGTGGCCGTAACTCGAGGACTATCTATAAAAATAAATGTGTTTTGAAGTCAAAAATAGCCTTCAGAACTCAACCTGCCAAAACAGGTGTAAGATACTCAAAGCAACACAGGCCGGCTAGTAAGCGGGTTGAAAACTGAATTGGATAGTATTCAAGGGCAGCCCCAGGTAGGTTTCCCGTAGCAGTAGTCTAGCCATCTGTCAGCCCAGCTACTGAGCGATGTCTTTTTTCCCACTCAGATACCCGTGGACCTCAACACTCTCCCCGAGGCCGAAAGGAGAAGTCGGTTGAGGAGGAAGAACTTGATGAAGTCCAAGAAGGAAGAAGTAGTTGCAACTTTCGAAGACGACTTTCAACTGGAATATTACAAGAAATTTTGGAATAAAAAATGAGGGAGGGGTTGTTTTGGGCAGTAAGAAAAACTAAATTCTATGGCAGCAAGTTATGCAACCCACCCACAAATAAAGATATTTCTTTGTAATTGCTCTCGTGTTTTTGGGAGAATGTGTTAATTTGTTTGAAGGAGGAGGGCATTTGTGATATGTGTTGATAAGTGTCTGTTGTAAACACAGGCATTCTTGGTTTGATCTGTAATAGAATTTACAGGTTGTCCTTAAGTTACAATCATTCATTTAGTGACTGTTTTAAGTCACAACAGTGCGGAAAACTATGAGCTACAACTGGTCCTCGCAGTTATGACCGTTGCAGCATCCCCATGGTCACATCAAAATTTGTACCTGGCTTGTTTTTGCAGTCATGTGACCGCTATTTGCACCTTGCCGGCTGGTTCTGATAATGCAAAGGAATCTGGGTTTGCTTAACGACTGTGTGATTCACTTAACAATGCAATGGTTCACTTTACAATCATAAAAATAGTCATAAAATTGGGTGCAACTCTCTTCCAAAACTGTCTTGCTTAGCAATTACAATTCTGGTCAAAAAAAGAAAAAAGGAGCGGTCGACTCAGAAAGTTCAAACTGTCCAAGGAGCTGCTGATCCAGTTCTATGGAGGAATGATTGAGTCTATCATCTGCACCTCTATAACTGTCTGGTTTGGTTCTGCAACCCAACAAGACAGACACAGACTTCAGAGGATAATTAGGACTGCAGAAAAAACAATTACTACCAATCTGCCCTCAACCTGTATACTGCACAAGTCAAATAGAAGGCTGTGAAAATATCTACAGACTCCACATCCCGGACATAAACTGTTTCAACTCCTACCCTCAAAATAACACTATAGAGCCCTACACACCAGAACAACTAGACACAAGGACAGTTTTTCCCCGAATGCCTTCCCTCTGCTAAACAAATAATTCCCTCAACACTGTCAACTTATTTACTAAGACTATTACTATTCCTCTCATCCTTCCTAGTACCTCCCTCTTCCCACATGACTATAACCATGTTGCTTGTATCTTTGCAATTTATATTGTTTTGTTTCCTAGTATAATTTGATTGCTTATTAGTAACCTATGACTATCACTAAGTGTTGTATCTTACGCTTCTTGACGAATGTATTTTTATGTACACTGAGAGCATTTGCACCAAAGACAAATTCCTTGTGTGTCCAATCACACTTGGCCAATAAAGAATTCTATTCTATTCTATTCTATTCTATTCCCTGTTCTATTCTATTCTATTCTATTCCCTGTTCTATTCTATTCTATTCCCTGTTCTATTCTATTCTATTCTATTCTAGATCAGAGTTTCTTAACATAGATCACTTTTAAGATGCATGCCAGCTGGAGAATTTTGGAAATTAAAGTCCATACTTCCTAAATGGGCCACGTTTGAAAAACCCTGATGTTGTTGAATTCCAAGAGTCTTCAAACATGACAGCTTTAAGACTTGTGGACTTCAACTTCCAGAATTCCTTCTTCAGCCATATTAGCTCAGGAATTCTGGGAGTTGAAGTCCACAAGTCTTAAACTTGCCAAGTTTGAAGACCTTTGCTAGAGTCACTGCCTAAACCTAGGATATTTTCAAACATTTTTAGAGAGATAAACAGGTTCTCGCTCTTCTAAAATATTTGGGAGACTTAAGTGTCTGAGGCCTACCTCGTAGGGCTGTTGTTCAAGTGAGAAGACGAACCAGAAAACTCTGTTATTTGCAGCACTATTTGGGGTCTTCTCTCTTTACAAGGCATGCCTAAATTAGCTTTTTATCAAGGTTGGGGACTGCAACATCTTTGCTGGCTTAAGGAGGATGGACATTGTAGCCATACCCAAAATCCTGGTCTCCACCCTAATGCACCCAGAAACACCCTTTTCTTCTTCCTGGGGAAAAAGAGCAGGAAACCACACTGCCTGGATTTCTGCAACCATCGTCCACGACACCCTTGCCGCCTGGGGATCATGGGAGTTGGACTACTAACTCCCCCCTACACCCCAAAGCACCAATGGGACACCTCAAATGCCCATCCGGCTGGGCGTTCTGCAAACAACTGTTCCCAACAAACCCGACGGCACCGTTGTACATGTGTGTGCGTGGGGACTACAAAGCCCAACATCCCCAGCCACTACAAATTCCCCAAGTGGCTGGAAAAAATTACTCCGGAGTTGGAGAGGGGGAAAAAAAAACATTGCTTCATTGCCCCTCAAGCCCTTTTTTTTGCTTTTGTTTTTTTAAACTTAAAAAAACAAAAACAAATTAAAAACAAATTAAAAACTTCTGCCAAGTGGAGGCGGTCGTAGCGAAAGGAATTTTCAATTAGACGTTTTCTCCTCCTCTCACCCCCCTCCTCCTTGAGCCGATTGGTCCAGCCCGCTTCGTCGTCGTCCCCCATGAGAACGGATGGTCCCGCCCAGGCTCGCGGAAGCGACGCCTGGGTTTTGCACGTGAAGCTGCAGTTAAGGTTGCTGGGCTGGGCTGAACCGGTTGGCGGGTTTTGGGTGGGGCTCCCCTTAAAGGAGAGGACTCCTTGCGATGCACCCCTTTTCTCCTTTGCAATGCGGTGGGGAGACCGTGCACCAGCCCCGGGGTCTCTGCAAACCGGGGGAATGTGTTATCCCATCTTCCCCAGCCGGGTGGGGTGTGTCCCAGCTAGAGTTGGGCGAGAGGAAGTGGGGTGCGGGGAAGCATTCATTGAAGATTCAAGGGGTTCTTGGGCTCCGGTGTAAGAGCTCCCTATGTGTGTGTATGGGGGGGGGGGGGCCCGGCGTTAGGATTGGCCCCCTTTGCACGTTTGGGGTGAGGATGAGGAAGGGGGGGCGGAGGGTCATGTTGGAGCGGGGAGGGCGTGCATAATTCCGGGGTCTCCACTTCTCGTTAAAACTTTATTGCATTGTTTTTAAACCTCAGCTACTTTAAGATGCGTAGACTTCAACTCCCAGAATTCCCCACCAGTTTTGCTGTCTGGGGAATTCTGGGAGTTGAAGTCCACAGCTCTTAAACTACCCAAGATTGAGAACAGTGGCCTATGACCTCTTCTTTTGACTATTTTTTCCCCCTCTAAAATGTGGTCTAACACCACATTTGAGACAACGAACACTTCAAGCCATGGTGGAACCCATACTCCCTGACTTACAACCTTTCATTTAGTGACTGAAGCTACACAGGTCACTGAAAAAAATGACTTGTGACTGTTTTTCACACTTACTACTGTAGCTGCATACCTGTGGTCATATGACCAAAACCTGGTTGCTTGCCAACTAGCTGCTATTTATACGACGGTCACGGTGTCCTTGGGTTACGTGATCCCCTTTTGTGGGGAAACCAGATTCCCTTAACCGTGTGACTATCTTGGCACATAAATTGCACTGATTCACTTAACAACCATGGCAAGAAAGATTGTAAAATGGGACATAACTCCCTTAGCTTGCTTACCAACAGAAATTTTGGGCTACGTTGTCGTAACTTGAGAACTACCTGTCTAACACTGGTCTTACTTGGGCAAATCATGAATACAATAAGCAAACTTTCACTAGCTTGGGAGAACTCCAGTCTTGTGACTAGAATAGAGTTTAACCTACTTTAAACTGTCATCTTCTTTTTTAGATCCTGGTTAAGGCTCCACCATGTTTGGCTCCTCCCGTGGTGGCGTGAGGGGGGGGCAGGACCAGTTCAAGTGGGAAGATGTGAAGACAGACAAACAACGTGAAAACTATCTCGGTTAGCTTTTCTGAGTGATGGCTTGTTCAATCAGCTCCTGTTTTTTTTTTTTTCCCCAAGAGACTTTGCCAAGTTTTACTGGTAAAAGAAAAAAATATTAAGCTTATTAGGAGAGAGAACAAAGGAAAAATAACGAATTGACTCCACATCTATTTAAAGAGCAGAAGTGCTGGGTTCAAATGTCTCTGGGTGCAAATTGGCAGCTTGCTAAGCTAGATTGAAAGAGTAGAGCCATTTTTTATTTAGTACGTCACCGTTTTTCAATTTTGGAAACTTTAAAAGGGGTGGATTCAACTCCCAGAATGCCCCAGTCAGTATTCTTTAAGGGGAGAGGATTTCAACTCCCAGAATCCCTCAGTCAGGAGGCTTTAAATGGTGTACGCTTCATGATTATTACCTTTACTGTCAGAGTACAACATGTGTACAATGATATGGGCTGAGCCTTCCTCCCTTCCTTCAGCTCCTCAAATTGTCCATCTAGCTTTAAGACGCTTGGACTTCAACTCCCAGAATTGCTCCAGCCGTATATTTTTCAACGTCGGCAGCTTTAATCCTTTCCCCCTCCCCCTCCTCCTCCCAAGCCCCACTTCCTACTAGCACTGACGCTCTTCCCTAGTTGGGTCATGAGACGTCTGCAAGAAAACCACCGGGCTCAAGAGAGCACCAAGATCTTCCTGCTCTGACATTGCAAGAATTTCTTTGGCTTTCCTTTCAGGGAACTCCTTGATGGCCCCCGTGGGCCGCTGGCAGAAGGGCAAGGACCTCACCTGGTATGCCAAGGAGAAGAAGGGCGATGCGTCGTTGTCCCGCACCGAAGAGCTGAACGCCATTCGGCAGGCGGAAGAAGAAGCCATGATGGCAGCCCTGTAAGTTTCAGATCCAACCCTCGGGTGGTGGAGTCCTTGGTCTGTCATGTAAGCCAGGCCTCCCCAAACTTGGCCACTTTAAAGACTTGTGGACTTCAACTCCCAGAATTCCTCAGCCAGCAAAGATGGAAGTTGAAGTCCACAAGTTTTTAAAATGGCCGTTTGGGCGACCCCTGACGTAAGCTTTGGAAGAAGTTTTCAGCTCTAGGGAGATGAGAAACGGCAAGGAGAATGGGTAGGGATGAAATCGCAGCAAACCTCCCAGGGGGATTTGTCTGGAAGGAAGAAATGATACTGACAAAGGAGAATATTTGAGGCTCAGGGTCCCTGGTGGTCTCTGAGTTTGGTGGTTTTTCATGCAGGCGTCTCGTGTCCCAACGAGGCAACATCATCGATGCCAGGAGGGAGGGGAGGTGGCAGAATGGGGGAGGACTGTGGGGTCCCTTGGGGCTTGCTGAGCTGGGTGGATTTCTTACATTTAATGTCCCAACTAGGAAACATC